CTGCTAGGAAATGCATCATGAGGTTTTAATGTTGATTCAATTTAGTATTAAAGTTTAACCCGCTGGCCCCGCCAGCCCGCCCAGTTCACACTGCTAGCCCGCTACACTGTTAGCCCGCCCACTTCACACTGCTAGGAAATGTATAATAACGTTTTCATGTTCGTTCAATTAAGTTTTAAAGTTAAGACCGCTGACCCGCCAGCCCGCTCAGTTCACACTGCTAGCCCGCTACACTGTTAGCCCGCCCAGTTCACACTGCTAGGATATGTATAATAACGTTTTCATGTTTAATCTGTTAAGATATAGAGTTTAGCCCGCTAGACTGCTAGCCCGCCCAGTTCACACTGTTAGCCCGCTAGACTGCTAGCCCGCCCAGTTCACGCTGTAAGCCCGCTAGACTGCTAGCCCGCTCAGTTCACACTGTTATCTCGCTAGACTGCTAGCCCGTTAGCTAGCGTACTTCACGGACATGGGGACGGGGATACTTTTTACAGCTTCTACATAGCACTTGACATATGCTGTTGTAACTTATAAAGTTCCAGATAAAGTGTGATACCTCACCGCGAATTTATAATGGTAAACGTTTGTTTGTACCAGGAGACTAGCTTGGAAAAACCCACATTTGCAGGATTCCGGATTACAACTATTATGGAAAATGTCAAGTTATTTTTATTTTTTCCTGTTCACTAACCATTTACTCTTGGATTGTCATAAAGTTCCTTTAGTTCCCTCCGCAGCGTTAGTTTCCCTATCAGTACAGTAGCAAAGTGCTGAGAGTGGATGCGTAATAGTTTTGCAAAAAATAGGCCCGTTGGAACTATTTGCAGATGGTCCAGCAAAAAATCGGCAGCTCGAAAAGCGGGACTACTCTTTAGCGCGTTTAGAATTATGAAAGTTACGGGAGAAAATATTATATAAAAAAGGAACTGTGACTACACTTTAGTTTGTAGCTCATACAGGCATAGACGATATTTCAGTAGACCTTACCATAAGAAAATGTTACTTAAATCTAAAAGGGAAGCGACAGTCTAGTATATGGAAAACATTGGGTACAGCAGGTGGAAAAGATGCCAAACGTTGTCATTGTTGTAACTGCTTGAAAGATAAATTGCGCATATATTTTACAAAGTACTAAATCGGATTTACATGTATTTAGAAATAATAAATTATATACATGTGTTTACATGTACATGTATACTTATTTGTTTCAACATCTTAAAGAGAGACAATCGGTACTAGCTTTGCAAATATATGATTTCTTGATTTATTTCCCATTTTAAACTGGCATCACGCAAATTGTTTGGTGAACTCAAATCTTACATATCAGCTTATAAATAACATGCCAAATCTCAAAATGTTTGTACACTACCAATTTATATCTTCAATATGTTCGTCAAATCAAAAGCTAAGAAGATAGGTAGCTAAACTCAAACCCGAGTGTGTATCATAAAACATTGTCTTAAAGAGTATGCATATCTAAAAATAAATATGTAAATAAATAAAAAGAAAAAAAAACAATAAACAAACAAAAACATACACACTCGCCTGTTGAAAATACGTGCCGGTTTTGTAAATATTCTTGACTCGGTAGCCACTTTTTCAAGTTTGCAAGAGTGCAAACCACTTTTTTTCTCCGATTTTTCGACGTGGCTATGAACGTATATGAGCGTGCGTGGATGCTTAACTTGGGAAAGTAAATGATGGTTTATATAGCACATACAGTCATCTCATATTTTTGCTCATTAAGTAATTTTGTTTTGAATCAATTTTATATTTTTTCGATTAATATTAGGTACGAAATGCCCCACATAATGTCCCTTTGATTTTTTCCATGTTGTTTTGGCGAGGAATGAACAAAGAGATCCTTACGAATAATTGTACATTGTATCAAACTGGCCAGAAGCGCTGGGTCCATCGCAGCGGCGTTGGAGTACTCGTCGCAAAAGCGTTTGATAAAATATGGCGGTAAGTTAATGACAGAATTTTACTTTATGTTTGAATGTTTTACTGGAAACACCAAGTAGGACAGGCCCACATATGTGCTCCAACTTATTACACGCACATGGTACAATTCATTGCCATTTATGCAAAAACTTCAGTACACGAGGGGACACCACTTTTGCATAATTTTGATTAAAAAACGTACAAAATGTGTGAAAAACGGCCCATAAATACACCAGTGTCACATCGTATGTATGATTTTTGCACACAAAAAAACCACATTTTTGATGTTTCGAAACCTGTTATTGCTTTTTTATACAGGAAAAAAAATGACAAAAATTTATTACAACGCAGACGGAGGTGGATTCGATCGCAACGCAGTGCGGTGGGCCCGATACCATTAATGTATATTATGAGGGTTTACAATTGAGTACAACCCTTTTCGTACTTTGAAATCAGAAAGAAAACGTGTTAATTTAGTGTTTAAAATAATATGATTATGTATACAAATAGATGTATTAGTTCCGCTTCCATTTTCCTTCCACTGAAAATTCCTTTGGCCGGTAATATCATAGAATTGTCTACTCTCAACAATTTATTTCATTTTATTTGTGAACAAACATTGTTTTTGAGTTCGTTCTTGTGACCATCGAGCCGCTACTGGCGATGGTTCTAATGCAAACAACCGTATACATACGATCCTATAACCTGTCAAGAATATTTATAACGAATTTTTAATACAGCAAACGTCCTTTTTAAGAGAAAAAAGTGAGATTTCTTCATAAAAAAACAGCAGTCGTTTATATAAAACTGCACGTTTGTAATGTTGCTTTTCATTGGATAATCATGACGTTAATATATATTTATATAACACGGCTGCTGTCAATTTATGAAGAAATCTCTTATTTCTCTAATGAAAAAGATGCTTGCATTATTATAAATTTGTTATAAAGATTTTGACGGGTTATATATAACCATATATGGCCGTTTATAAACGATTGTTTGTAATATGACTCTAGTGAAGAGGCTCGGCAACAAACGGCCATATAACTTGTCAAAAATCTTTATAACTAATATAATATGACTGCACGATAATCCAATGAAAATCAGCAGTATTATTAAACATTTCCAGCGCAAAAGCTTAGGGGTCACCGATCTCATTTTCTGCACATGCATTTGATGTTTTATTATAATTATTGTCGTTAATATTATTATTACTATCATCAACATCATCATCATCATCATTTTGATTATGATGATCATAATGATGATGATGATGATGATTATTATTATTATTTATATTATTACTATTATTATTATTGTTATTATTATTATTACTTATTTCGGGTTATCGCAGACGCGATATAATAATAATAAAACATAACGTTGTAGTGTTATACAAAACTTTTATATAATTGAAAAGGGTTACATTTAGAATTTATAAAGTGAACATTTAAACACCCACTAGTATTAGTGATTGTTTTACCTCTGAAATTTATAATTTCCAAATTAAAATCGTTTTTTCTCCAGCCCTTAAATAAAAATTGCAAAATTTAAATTTAAGGTTCCTTTAATTTCCCCATAACTGTATATAAATAACTTGAATCTTATAAATCGAATACGGCAAACGTCATATATATGGTCAGGGGATATATTCAAATTTGTTCATAACACAGACATGATGTTTTGAAGGTAATAAATTTTTTTGATATTTTTTTGTCATTGTAATGTTTTTTGCTTGTGTGTAGAAAATGAGCAGTATTACTGCGTTTTTACCCGAAATCAAAGATTTTGGTAGCTTTGTATGTATTTGTGACTGATAAAAGTAAAAACTCAAGCATTGGCGCCTAACGTGTCAGAAACTTTGGATAAATTTTGTAAAAATATAAACGTATGACAGAAAGTTCATTGGACATTTTTGAAAATGTCATTAATAGCACTGTGTACTAGTAGGTAATATCTTTAAAGAAATCGGGCAATTCTGGATTATCCTGCCCCTTCATAAAGATGGCCCATGATGGTATATTTAAGGTGTGATTTTTGTTGGTTGGAGTAAATACAAATAGCTGTCAGTCATTATTTTAAGAGCAATGCATGCAAACTATTATTAACGTATGTCTTATATCCTTGAATAATGCTGTGCAACTGGTAACCTGCCTGTGCAATAGATCATGCACTATTTAGAATTGTGTGTTCTGGCCACACTGAACTACAGAATTCTTTATTTTAGGTCCCCTGCCCCCTTTACCTTTTCTTCGATTTGCGACATATCTTTTGCAAGATGCTGGAAAAGTGACGGGTTTGCATTTTCGCTGTCGCTGTGTTGGCATATTTTAATTTTGTGCAAAATTCTATAAATTATAATATATGGTTGCCTAGGCAGATACGCGGGGAAATGGGGGGGGGGGGATTTCATATCCGATTCATGTCTTTATGTCTTTTGATAGGTGTTGTTTGTAATGCCATGTAGCATTATTTATAAAAAGTAAGATCAAGTAGAGCAAAATAAATAAATAAATAAATAAAATATCACAGTAGATGTCTATATGTCAGTAACGATTCTTTCTATACAAAGACAAATACAATTACTAGTAGATAAATGATGAGATTAAACAATTTCAACATTTCAAATTGAAAAGAGTGTCAGTTATGGCCTGGATTGATACCATTTACATCAATTGCTTTTTTTCTTAGGCATTAAAAAAAAGAAAAGAAAACATTGTTATACGTAAATATCACAATGAATTGAAAATATATTAACTTTTTCACTAGCGCCTAGTGAAAATATAGTATTTCTCTAACTTGCGTGATAGATTGTTTTAGAACATGTTCATTCAAAACTACCAAATACTATCCTTTTTATACACAGTTTTACAGAAAAAAGGATACAAAGTAAATAATAAAAACAATAAATTATATTAAATAAAAATTACATCTAGTTTTATGTATACCAACTTCAAAGCGCCTTAACTCCAGCGGCCATATTCACCCACTTCCCAATGAATAGAGAGACGTTATCTGATTGGTTGATGCGAAAGAATGTTCCGATCAATATTGACACAGCGAAGTCAACGTGGTGTCGTAGCAGACGACAATATCAATAGCGTGAAAATCACTGATGCAACGAAATGATGATATAAAAGATGCTGGTTTCGTTTGTTGTTGGATATTTTCCTTACATGTTATACACAAACTAGACCACCATCGAGAACTTAAAGCAACTGGATTTGTTCACAATAGCCGACCAGCTGTTTACATCGCCGATGTTGCAATTATAACTCACTGGATATTATAATTGTCACTATGAAAATCAGTTTGTTTCAGACATTCTTTTCTTTTTGCTAAAAATCTTGTTACAAGATACTGAAAAAATTCCATCGTAGAATTTCTCATGGATTTTGATCTCCGTTTTTTTTTTCCGAATGTCATTTGGGATTAAACCTTTGTGATTTATTGGACTGACATTCATTTCAGCAACATAGTAATTACTATCGAACTTTAACAGGAATTGTTATCGGAGCAGAGTTAAATTCACATCTGGAACATATAGTTAAACGTGCGTGCTATAAGTGCTGTGTTGGAACGGGGAATAACGTCAAAAATGTGCCTTCAATATGTTGTAATTTTTCTTCTTAATACTGTCCTGACGGGAGGATTATCTAGGAATAGAGATGTCTGGGAAAAAATCAGTGGTACGTTAATTACCATCATCGTTATCATCATTATCATCATCATTATCATCATCATTAACATCATTAAATTATAGTATCTTATTGTTTTACTTTATTTTCTCTTTTCTTTTCTTTTCTTTTTTCTGCATTGTATTCTATTTGACTAAGAACAGACATTAAGTTAATATATGTATTAATGATAAATATCTTCCCAAACAAATTTCAAGTAAAAGATATATTTTTAATTTAACCCCTCAAGTTTTAAATCCTGAAAATGATAACTCTTTATTATCGTGTTTAAATGTTTTGAGATTTAGAAAGTATACTTAAGAAGTATAACAATGTAAAGTAAGGACAGATTTACGCCTAACTACACATTTAAGATCCCATTTCACGTATATTTTCATCTTGTATTGTGACCTTTAAGAGTCGAATCGTTATACTATCTTTAAATACAATATGGCCCTTGACAAGATGATACTGTTTCTATATATCTTTTGTTCATGTATGTTTTGATACCGCAGTGAATCAGTCAGTCTCTCCACAAAATGTGACGTGTTTTCCCGGGAGTGTGCAATCTTTTGTGACCAACAATATTTATCAACAGCTGCCGTGCAATAATAATAATATGAAAAATTACAACATAAGAATAATACTAGAATTCATGAATACATCTTCTCCTGTATGTATGAGAACACCTCAGGTCACGGAGTGCAGCATAAACTAGATCTAATAACAAAAAAAAAGAAGAAAAAAAATGCATTTAACCAAACACTATAACATGCCCTTTCTTAATCAACATGTGACAAAACATGAAATAGAAGCCCTTACTCTGTTAAAAACGGGACAGAAGTATGTTGATATCAATATACTTTGAATGTAACAAATTATGCCATTTTATAAAATAACAGGTAATGTTTTACACGGAAAATAATTAACTTCTTAATTTCTCAATTTTTTATAATTTTTAATTTTTGCTTTCACATATTCTTAGGGGTACAACCTTTGAGGTTGTGCGCAAATTATGAAAATTTATCGACTAATAGCTTTACACTGGATTACTATACAACAGTGCCCCAGAATAAGCAATACATGACTATTGTAATGCTTACACTTCCCGAGATAAATTAATCTATTCATATATAATTATATTAAAAAAATCATTCTCCGTCAATTACTTACACACATCCGTGTTTTACTGCGTCTTTCGGAGTAAAATAACCATTATTTGCTACTAATGTAATTATTTTCAAACGGCCCGGATGAAATTTTAGATGGATATTTCTCTCCGGTTGAAACTAACTCGTTGTATAATTGAATTCATCTTCTAATTTATCACAAAACGCACTATTACATTTATCTTTTACGACATTCCGGAATTCAAGTCGTGTGTCTGCACCGATGTTAATTAAAATCCACACATTTGTTCAAAAGCTGAAGAAAGAAGTGACTGCAAATACTCGTCACCTCAGTGATAATATATTGCGAGATGTTCTTGTCGCAAATAGCAGGATTACTTGGAAAAAACTTCGAAACAAAAAACAGCAGATTTGAAAAAAAACATTGATTAAGGCCGTTGTACTTACGGTTTTAAGTTTTATACATATATTATACATATCTAAATCTAAAAGATTACGTGCACACGTTCCGTGACAGGCTCGCGTGAAAACCAGAAATTAAAAAAAAATGCTTCTGTCTTCTTTTTCAATCTAATACAAGTTTACCATTTATGTTGCATGGGATTCGTAGCAGGTTTGATTGATTAAAACAGATTTATTCTGAATAAAATGCCTAACTCTGGAAATATCAAAGAAATATAACATGTATTTCAAAAAAGATAGATTGCACAATTACTGAATACACAAATACAAAAGGTCTGCCTTTTTCATATCCATTGTTTCTTTATTTTATCTTATTGAAATAAGGTTGCCATCATAAACACTTCGATTTTTGAGGGTTTTTTTCTTTTTATTATTATTAAAACAGCATTGATTTGTCATATTTTCAACTGAATCTTTCATCTACTAGATATTATACGAGTTTAATTATATTTTTTTATCAAATACAAGTATTTCATTTAATCTATGTACTTTGTCAAGTAGGTTCTAGTATTATATAACATGTAAATGATTTACGATCAATACTCTTCTTTAATGGAGGAAACTATAGACATGCATGTATATATGAATATATTCATTTTTATCATATTACTTATTACAGCTGTACCCGGATGACGATTCACTTATAAACTTGGAAAAGTAAAAGTTTATAACTAGACAGACAATGAAGTTGTTAATATATGGAGGGACTCTCAACAGTCCTGAATTAATTATAAGGAATCTATCCAATATATTCAAGCTTGAATTATTAACTTCCAGCCCTTTGAAAATAATGACCTCACCCTCAATAGAATTTCTCCAAATTGCACGCGATAGGTTTGGTCAGCGCCCTAAATGTGTGCGACTTAAATTAGAAAATCAATGAAAGCATTGCGATGGTATTTTGAATATTTTTTTATAACATGTAAAAGTCACTATATGAAATCATTTTTCAGGAGAGGAAAAATATTACTAATTCGTGAGAATTTAATTCCGAAGAAAGTAATTTGACTAATAACAAATGGGGAAATTTGATTAGTATATTACAACTTTAATTTGTTTTAAATGAAAAAAGAGGTAGACCTGTAATTATGCGGGTATGATAATGCATTTAAAAATCATCTCAAAATGAATTAATCTAAAATAAAGACACAGAAAGCAAATGAATTATATCTTTTAGAGTGAGGACCAATTTTGCACGTTAAAGCATAAAATGCATGGCAGTATACAACTGAGTGCAAACTGTTTCAGCTGGTTTTTTAATCTCCATGTCTAAACACTAAAAGATTTTTTCAATGAACATATTTTGAACAGCTGTAGCAATTTGCGGTGGACATTTTTTTCATAAATCAAGCATTGTTGATAGGGCTTGATTAAATCAGGGAATCTCAAGCCTTGTGCAACATGTTGCAAGATTGATTTTTGAATGAAAGAATAAAGGAAATCTTATCTGAATTTGCGATCTTAGAAAACGAAAGAGAAAGACAGGCAAGAACAATGCCCAAATGTTGCAAGTCTTTGAAAAAAAGTCAATGAAAAGTCATATAAAGCATAAGATGGATATGACGTATTCATGCACGTGAGAAGGTGTTTCTCATCGCGCGATGTATTATTGCGCCGTCTCACGTGATGATCATGTATTAATACGACGTGTGAAATACAACAATTTCAGGTAATTGTACAATGAATGAAGTATTTCATGAAGTTATTATAAGAAACAACAAATCCACTATTTGATTATTGTTTGTTTGTTGTTTTACTTTATCATTTTAAAATTGCTTATTGATATACACTGCAATATATGTTCTGCAAATATCCGGCACCAGTTTCAGTAAAGTTTACGTATTTATTTCGTTTTCAGGAAAATGGTAATTTTGGAATTTATCTCAGTATTCTCCTGTCTATTTTAATACCATGAGCGAGAAACGTTATGTAAATATTCTCAAAGACAATGCTATTTGATATGTGTAACGTTAGTATGGAAAATATGCAAAACTTCTAGAATTTGATTTCATACCCTGTCACCATTTTAGATTCATTGCATAAACTGACAGGAGAGTTTCTAGTATAACGTGAAATCTATATCTTTTACATGATATACTGCCTAATATTGTTATTATTTTACGACTAAAATTGAAATTGATACATCATAATAAATGGAAGAAATCATAAAACAGCTGTTTGGGAACATGACGTAAGAAATGAGCCGCGTCACGACAAAACCAACATAACGGGTTTGCGACCAGCATGGATCCAGACCAGCCTGCGCATCCGCGCAGTCTGATCAGGATCCATGCTGTTTGCTATCAGTTTCTCTACTTATTAGAGGGTTTGTAAGCGAACAGCATTGATCCTGATCCGGTCTGGATCCATGCTGGTCGAAAACCCGTTATGTTGGTTTTGTCATGACGCGGCTCAAATAGTAAAACGGCTACGGTGTTTGGGGACATGATTATATTTGAGGCAATAAACGTAATTGTAATGTAATATTTACGAGATTGGTAATTGTTAAGGTTTGGATTTCCTCATGGTTGAGTTCTCTATGCGTCAGTGTATTGTCAAGATAAAACACGAACCATTAAGTTCCGTAAAATAGCATATTTATTTAAATTCCGTGCTAGTATTATCATGATAAAAAACAGTCTATCCACAAGGAACAAATACCTTTTCGCTTACTCATATCTTAATATAAAAAAGATAGACACAGAGTTGACATAATTCATATAAAAATTTTAACTTTACAATCTCAAATGGTTCTTGGTTATTAAAGACGTTCATATTCAGACAGTACAAATAAGTGGATCTTTTTTTTTAAATTTTACACTGAAGAATTTCGAAGCCGTCTGCAGTTTTCTTTTCTACTTTTCCTGTAATATCGCGTGATTACAATTGAAAGTTGCACTTTTGACAAGACGGCGTTCGATTTAATATCGCAGGAAATGATATTGTGCATAGATTAGATTAATACGAACTTAAAAGGAGAGAATCACGCCCCGTTACAGAAATATCCAATTTACTTGATTAGAACTGTGAGCTAAAACAGCTGTATGTACATTGCATGTACAGAAATGAGGAGCGGAATATTTCAGGGTTTTTTTTTTCTTCTAAAAACTAACATTTATTTCCTGTGCAAGTTTTCTATGTATATATTTGTGTTTGTTAAGAAAATTTTTAACAATAAAGAACCCAAAAGGAAGCGACCGGTACTTCGCAATTCGTTCCAAACTCTTTATTATTTAGTGTTTGACTTAATAACTAAATTTACCTGTCTGTACGAGTAAGATGGACACAGTTTTGAAAATCCGAGCGATTTCATTGGTCGGCAAATATTATTGGTCGCTGAAAATTGTTCTATAATATACGTTTCGCTGAGAAAATTAAGACTCTACATTTTCTGTAAGGTATAACCGATCTGCTATAGAAAATTTAGACTGTACCCTTTTTCTAAGGTACAGATGACTTACTACCTACTTACTAGCAAATATAGACTGCACTTTCTTGTTTTGTTAACTATGAACATTGTCCTCAATTGAAGACCGTTTGGCAAAGACTTGTTTTCCTCACTAGATAAGCAAGTGGCACAAAGGACCTTAAATTCGTCTCTCAGCATATTAATTAGGTGATATATACTGGACTTTGGGTGTGTTTTGTGCACATTGTAGTTAAAGGCATTAGTCTAATAACTTATCTTGAGCCATAAGAGTCCTGAAATGTCACTAAACACGTTAAGCCTATGTTTTATAGTGTTTTTTTTCCCGTTTCCCGATGAAATGGCCTCTGGATCATTTATCATATGCCGTAAACATCATGAATTATTGATGTAAATAGAAAACTAAGCCCATGCCTAACTCGTGGCTGCTCCTTAAAAGCGCATTAGGCTGATTCCATTTAGAATCTGATAGCAATACAATCAGTGAACTCATTCTTTTTTCAAATCTCGCGAGAATTCACGCGATTCAATGTTAGTTTTGCTGTATCCTCTCTGTATTACAAGAGACTTCCATTTTCTCCGTTCTCTTTCTTTAATGCAAATTGCATGCATTCGAGCAATAACAAAATATACGAAAATTGATGGCAAGTACAATTTGCTTTGTTGCGCAATATGTCTCAGGAAAAGCTGAATTTAATAGGTGGCCTAGCCTACTGTATAATGCATGATAGGCTTTTTACAGCAATTACTCTCATTTATTTTAGTCTGAGAGGGAGAGCCTTTTTGTTTCTATATGACCGTCTGTATATTTTAGATAGTCACACGTTTAAAGCACAAATTATCAAATTGGATTCTTAACATATTGATACGTACGAAACAAATTATGAAGATTTTTTTATCTCTGGTATTGCTTTGGATGCTTGTGATTGTGTGCTGTTGAACAATAGGTATTCTGTACCATGATTACAAATACTAAATTGTGATAAAGGAAAACACTTCCTTCCACAAAAGTTAGATATCGTAGCGTTACCGTTTATTTTGTTATATAGGAATACACTTCCTTCCACAACAAGTCAGATATCATAGGGTTACCTTTTATTTGTAATACAGAAAAGCATTTCCTTCCACAAGTCAGATATCGCAGCGTTACTGTTTATTTTGTTATATAAGAAAACACATCTTTTCACAAGTCAAATATCGTTGCTTTTCCGTTAATCTATCACAACGTTATTAAGAAGCAGACAATTCACATGTACTTAATACAAACTAGTCTGCAAATCTGTCTAATGCAAATGTAACATCAATTATAAAGCGTCTTATTCAAACTTAATTGTGGTTGTTTTTGTATTAGCCCTCCCACTCACCGCCCAAATTTTCTAGAAATTAATTGATCATATAGACTAAAGCATATTAGTATGTCATTAAATTGTCCTCATTATAAACATTTTACCATGCTTTTATACGGAGAAGTTACTGATTGTCTTGTTAAGATATCATATTTTGATGTTTTTTTCTGATTTCGTATAGAGAATATTTGACATTTGAATGTTTATTTCATATTGATAGAAATGGATTGCAGACAGAACGGTGTAGGTGTAAAGAAAATTGTACATTATAATTAAAAAAAAAATTGTTCTCATTGATGCAAATGACGTCAAATATACAAATGTTATAATTGCTTCTAAACACTTTATTTATATTGATATAACATTAGTGTAAAACATACATGGATGCAGGATTCCCCTCCTTCAAACTTATTCCGTTAATAATGGAGTGGAAAAACAGTGAACAAATTAGTAAATTCTGTCATAGTACGAGTGAAACTTGCAAAGTGGCACTTTGATTCTGAATATTTTTGAGTTTTTGTTATAAACTTAGAGTTTATTTAGTTTCTTTTTAAATGTAAACCCATCTTCACACATTCAACTAAAATTGGTTGTAAAAGAAATCTAATAAAATTGCTGTAAAAAGTGCTTCTTTAATTGCAAATGCTTATTTGTTTGCATTGATTTTAACCGATGTTTTTGACATTCTTTAAGAAATATGTCGCCGTACATTTAATCCAATAGGGTTTTCTCCGGATCACTTCTCAAACTAGAAAAATTGATATTCTTCTTTCTTCTTATCTTGCTACAGGGGGCCATGCTTTTATGCCAATATCTGTTACATATTTTATAGTTGTTTTAAAACCACATATATAATGGAACGAGATGACTAATTATGATCTTCTAAACTGCTATTTAATGTATATGATACGTTTGAAAAGATCTGCATATTAAGCAGAAAAAATCAATCACTTTGTGTTAAGTGCATTATAGTGTTGCATACAACCTATGAGTTGTCAACTAATGGAAAGGAACAATTCAAATAAAATGATGTTGATGATGATGATTAAGATGATGATGATAATGATGATGATGATGATGATGATGATGATGATGATGATGATGATGATGATGATGATGATGATGATGATGATGATGATGATGATGATGATGATGATGATGATGATGATGATGATGATGATGATGATGATGATGATGATGATGATGATGATGATGATGATGATGATGATGATGATGATGATGTAACAGCATGATAAATATACCCTTTTTTCTTCATATCATTTGAATTCAAACGGAAGCACGATTTCCTATGTTGCATATATTTCTGAATTTATTCAGTGTGACTAACGTTTTTGAATATTTTTTATTCGAATTAAATAACAAATTTGATTCATGTACAAAAAAATGGAAAAACTACTGATAAATTTATTGTAATATAAACCATCATATTATTGGAGAAAAAACTATAAATGCATATGCAATCAATAAAAACCCAGATACTTGAAATATATCAAGTCATATTTTCACAGTAATAATAGCATGATGTTTTATTAATTTTCACCCTTTGAAATGTCTGCAGAAAGATTGGGAAAATACACTAGTTTAAATGTCACAATCGCACACTCCTATTAAAAAATTGTGAAGATTTATATTGTTATCGTGTTAATGACAATCTATTCAAGGATGATGGCACATTACTGACATTTATCTATACATAATAGCATTAATTTGTATTAGTGCCTTCATCTATTTTCTCTTCCAGTACGCTATGGATTCTGGAGAACTCTCCCAAAGTACGAAGGCCTAGCGTCTGGGGAAGGATATAAACGGTTCAACGACGTGTGTAAAAGTAAGTCTTTAAGAATGAATTGTAGACTTGTATAGTTCAGAAATATAAAAATAGGTAGCGTACTTCTTATGATCAAAGATGATTTCCTATCTATAAAGTTAAGATTTGTTTTAAATTGTATATTCATAAAACAAAAATGTCACTGCCGTCAAATTTAACAATGGATTACAAATGATATTAAATTCAGGGCCAGTGTCATATTTCAATATCTTGAAAGGCTTAGACATCTCTGTCCAAAAGTATGAAATATGAAGGTTCTAGGCCATTTCCCTAATTGAATGGTTTTTTGCTGCTGCTGTTGTCTTTAAACCGTTATGTATTTCAATGTCTGTTATATATTAATAATTTGTCCAGCCAGCGTTACATGTTAGAGTCAATTGCTTGACACTACTTGTTTAATTTGACCATTTGTCTTTAAGGATGTGTTCGGAAGCCTCCGAAGTCCGTTTACATTTTGCATAATCTGTCTTTAACACATAAAAAGAAGCCATCCATCGCTATTTAAAGTCCTGTCAATAGACAGATTGATTAATGGACGTGCCACGAGGGGATACCCATTGTTCTTCAGCTCCTTGTTGAAACCAAAATGTGTTAAATGAAACCTTGTAGGGGGCGCTTCTCCTCTCACAGCGTTTATTGATTTTGTAGCGAATGGTAAAATGATAACTTGTCACTGTGTGACAAAAGCTATCAAACATGGACGGGTAAATTAAGGCGACTTAAACTAAGATTGAACCTTAATAAATGGCTTTAGCGCGACGTAGCATTATTTCATTATGTTGATAGTCAAAATATATTAGCAGTGCGTCGGATGAAACGTTATTGCCCAAGGGAACATTTTGTCATTAATATCCAGCAGTTTAAAAATAAAAGTAAGGGAAATGCAATATGACAGTCCTTATTATTTTCATATTTCTATAATCCATTTGTTGATACGTTAAAATATAATCATTTTAAAAACAATGCATTAACACTGCAACACCAACATGCAAATCTTCATTATTTAGTATTAAAGGTAAAAAAACTTGCACATATGCGCTATACTCATTTACAAAAGAAAGTGTACATTTGGTTGGGAAATTTTGTATACTAATTTGAGCAAAAACTTTGCATACTCGTATTTGCTTCAAAATTTGCAGAAATGTTTCGACTACACTGTGGATTACATTTAATTGAAATTTTGATTATTACCAGCACTTTTGTAATATGGAAACAGCCGAGGATTGGAAAATTAAAGGTGTAGAACTGCACTTTTTGTAAATGCGTGTTTATCTTTGATTTTTTTATTGTAACATAATTGCAACCCAAGTCCATATAGTGTTATGCCAGGTCCATGCCGTTTCAACACTTTCTTTATTCATCAGATGAAATGAACGCAACAGACACTGATAAATAATCACGTGACAATAAGAAAACCGTTAAAAAGTCACAACTATGCTACTTTTACTTTCATCCTTCCGCTATTTTCACGGAAGTCAAATCCTGATGGTTACAAAATCAATACAATTTAAAGTATTGCATGGTCAATATATTTCGATACAAAATTTCGATACAAAATTAGTCACCATATATTTTGCACATGTATGTATGCAGAATTTATATGTAACCAAGTGCACACTTTCTTTTACAACTGAGAATATATAATTTCAAAACCTGTACTACCACGTTTTAACTCTTTTTTGGTATTTTTTTCCCACAAAAATGATCTATATAAGCTTTTCTGATTTATATATGGATATTATATTGTTACAGACTAAAATAGTTTTCAACAAAATATTCTATTACTTTTTATGTTCGGTTTTAACGAGGATTATGTGCATGCACCATTAGCTTTAATGGACATTTATTGATAGACATTGTTCTTTCATTTAGATTGATTGGCCTGTTCTATTTCTTATTTCAATATAAACAATTATCTGGTCACACTGGTCACGATTAAAAACGAAAATCTAAATGGTAATCACTTATATTCATGTATTTGTATCAATATAAAACACGAGTATTGAGAAGAAATGAAACTTCTGGTTAACCCTACATGTACAATGTAATACGGTTAAAATATAAGTAATTTTGTATAATTCATATACTGCATCTTTAGCACGTTAAGATGTTTTCTGTATTTAAAATAAATGAATTTTGAAATGTTAAAATGGAATGTCTTTTTTTTTTTCGTAGAACCTACAATCTTAAACGGTGTAGATTTATCAATTGACGAAGCTAATAAAGTGAAACATGTTTTGATATTTAAATTTGTGTTGGTTTTTGATCTAATTGTCCAATCTTTAACGGTCACATTTTCACTAAAATTCAGAAGACTTATACCTTGCACGCCATTAAAATTGTTACGTTGGTTATGACCAGTAATGAATTAAAAGCATCACTGATTAATTGGGATGCATTCGTAATTTTTTGTTCCTATAATTTTCAGATTTTGTCACCCTTTAGTGCTTCAGCACCCGCAATGTCTTCGAGCTATGAAATTCAACGAAATTATAGTGCCATAAATTTTAATATAATGCCGCCAATGTAACGAATTCTCGCGCCATATGGCGCAATTTGTATGGCTGATTACATCAAAGCATGCAATACGGACCGTGCGTTGTCTGCGGGGACTTTGGGAAGATAAAGGTCGTGGTGTATTTAGAAGTTAATGTAATGCTCATTACACCAATAGTTTGTGTCGTTAATTTGTTCTTTAAAATGATCTTAATGTAACATAACTAGTAATCTAGAAAAGAATGTTAAAATGATGTGATTTAAATAAAGCTTCAAGCATTTGAAAGAAAGGACGGTACAGATTGGTTATAAAAATGGAAATACATAATTTTAGTCCAGTTTTCTAAATTGACATATTTTCTTTCTCTGATTTCAGTGTTGAATATTATGCATGTATCCAATCTGTTTAATTTTTTCAAAACATGCTTGTTAACATAAACTTCTCTTTAAATATCTAGGTTATGAGTGGCTTCATTCCTTGCAACTAAATATATAATTATATTGATATACTATAAAAAAGGTACTCTAAACATGTTTTACAGACCTTTTCCAATTCAACAGAAAAAAATCTTTTTATGTCTATCGTCAACCATGTATTTAAAATTTTGGAATTGACATTTATAAATACACGTCTGACCTTCTAAATTTTCAGAGTCTAATGTTAAAAATGTTGATTTTTCTTCTTTAGAAATCAGCATATTTCTGGGAAATTGTTGAATTGTTGTCGGATAAGCAAGTGATACATTGTTTCTCCATGATGGCTGAATTAATCTGCTTCTTGGATGTTCCATGTAATCTATTCTTTTTTTGTCCATCGAATTAATAGGAACAATACGTTATTCCTGAAACCATAGTTACACTGGTTGCCAGAGATTGGGATGAGAAAAAACACAATAATAAAGAGTTTTTGCTTGCTATTTCTAATATATTGTTTGACTTTCGTAAGAAGACATATTTCTGGCTTCAAATAATACACAACTAAAATTCATTGCCATATTTGCTTAAACCCCTTATTCCAATTTTACTTCCAGACATTTAAATCAACCTAAACTCAATTTCTACTACTCATTTTTATTAAATTAGTAAAAAAGCTTTCACTTTTTATCAATATGATCGTGTACAGCGATGCTGGTAAAATAAATCACTGTAGATGATGCAGACATCCCGAAACAAAGGTCTGTTTCATATTGCTTCAGAAAACATCATCGAGATTGACATTGTCAAAAGAGCGCTTTCTTTTAAGTTTTATTTACAGTGCTATGTATTTACATCGGGAGAAACAGACATAATTAGGACTACTTTATCGCATTCCAATGTGAGCTTGATACGAAATTTTACTCGTCCCTGAAATTCTATCGTTGTTGTTGCATGAACTGATTCTCTAATCATAGCAGTAACATTTATTTGTGTCTCCTGTCTTTGTTTAGGTAGTAAGTAAATAAGTAAGTTATTAAATATTTCATTATATTGACATGTTTATGACAATTTACAAATAACGAAAATAATTTAACATAACACCCGGCCCGATGGACCAATAGGTCATCTTAAGCATATATACATTAATAATAGTTGACATCAAATAATAATACTGCAATATAAATAGTCGTGTATGTTACAAAACAATGTATATTTCTATATTGACTTGAAATTACATTAAATGTTAAATATTAAGATGTTCGGGAAAAAATTTGGCAGTATGTCAGTTAAGCCATGTTTCGAGCAATTGATAAACAAATAATAAGATATAATATTTACGCATGGATATTATTAAAATATAATGTATTATGATAAAAGATTAGTAAAAAAACCTGATGATTTGAGTTTTCAACCTTAATACGTTTAAGGCGACAAAATATATTTTACTAGCATTTTATTTGCAATAAACAATGAAAAATATACCAGGCCAGTTGCTCTAAGCTAGGAATAATGCTTCTTCTGAAAACTAAAATACAATATTCTGCTTAAATGCTGGTATGGTTTAGAAAAAAAAATGATTCTTCAGAAAGATTTTTCATTTCTGATGACAATGGCTAAAACAGAAACTTAAGTATTAAATAGAGAATATTGAATGAGTGTAAGTTTAACACTGAATTTGTATATATATATATTTGTTATATACGGAGTCGCAAAAGCGGCACGGGTATATGATAAATGTTGATACAGCAGTTTTAAAGATTTCCATACGATGCAAAATCGCCATTTACATGTATAGTACTAGCAATTTTAATACTTTACTTTCGTGAAACCAGACAAGGCAAATAACATTCGCTGTTGCACAAAATAATTTATTGCGTTACCTATATGTTTATCGGTTTTTTGCTTAAAAGCTTCTGTTTTATGCATAGTTGTCATGGTTTCCTCCAGTTGATTAAAATTTAATTGCCTGCTGGCGTCAACAAGCTACAGTGATAGCGTGACAAGATCCTATCCTTCGTAGGCAAGACTGTGCTGACATCGGATAAAACTTTACCGTATCATTATCCATGGTATAATCACTAGAAGTTTGTTTGGTTGTCAGATCTCATTTTCTCCATTATTGACTAACCGAAGTATGTTTCATCATGGGGAAATACCCGCCAGGTGCGAGCATGTATCAAAATATAACTCGACAAATTAATAACAAGTTTGCTACCCAAGCGAGAAAATGTTATTGTGGACAGACAGAACGGTATAAGAATGGCAATTGAACCCTGGTGTTTACCATTTAGTGAAGTTTTGCACTTTGCATTTAGTGAAAAAATATTGAAATTCATGCAAAGGGTATATGTTTTCATATTTAAGAAAAAAAAAACAACAACAAAAAAAACAACAACAAAAAACAAAAAAACAAAACAAAAAAAAAAAAACAAAAAAAAAACCAACAGCAACAAAAAATCAAAATCAATATACACTGACAAGTACAGAAACGTTGAATCCAATTTTAGATACAAAACGCTGCACAAAAAAATATTCAATCATAAAGGGAAATAACTGCATATCTAATGAAATGGGTCGAACGTTAAACAACGACCTTTAAATAAAAAAAGCTTTTAAATGTCTTAAATATATTAAATGGTTTTTGTCATTATTTCATGAAAAAAAAATCATCTTTTGCGCGTTATGTAAACGAGAATTCATTTATAAAAGATACTTTATTTTTTGCTACAGAAATATTATAACAAAGATCTTAGCGTTATTAATAAATGTAGCTACTGGGATTTCGTTACTAAGCAATGGTAATCAGCTGAGCGCTCAAAAACACTTGAGTATATTGGTGATGTGATTCGATACATAACTATGACCATATATGGAAATTTACCTTAGAAAGATATGGTAAATTAATTATATATGAATTTCAATAAATAATGCTCGCTCGAGTTTAATCTATGAAGTTTATATGAGCCGCGTTACGACAAAACCAACGTAATGCGTTTGCGACCAGCATGGATCCAGACCAGCCTGCTCAGCCGCGCAGTCTGATCAGGATCAATGCTGTTCGCTTACAAACACTATCACAAGTAGAGAAACTGATAGCGAACAGCATGGATCCTGATCAGACTGCGCGGATGCGCAGGCTGGTCTGGATCCATGCTGGTCGCAAACGCATAACGTTGGTTTTGTCGTGACGCGGCTCATATATGTAATTTTTTACTTTTCTAATTTGCAGCGGACTATTTCCATGGTTTCCTATTTACAAAAGAAATAGATACACCAGCGTTACCGATTTATGACTTAAATGGCGAACTTGCTGGTGTGCAAACAACGGTAATTAAGTTACGATATATTTTATATGTTCATATATTCGTAACACCCATATGTAACTATTTATATTTCATTTCATTGTTTAATATGTTTTTCAAATAACGAATGATATAAGACGTATTTATAGAACTTGTAACGCTATATTATTCAAACTTTCTTGTTTTTACATTTTCATACATATTTTTATGCTATTAAATACTTATATATAATTATACTTTGAGATTTAGCTGCGTAGAACTCTTTAAACTCCTAGCAGAGGTTACTTCCCTTGGTCAGTACAAATATCACTGCCAACCCAATTAAAGTTCGAGTAAAATTGTTTTCACTTTCATTTTCAATTTTATCACAGTCTATCTTTATATATTTATTAAATAACAAGTATGCTTTACGTTAAAAAGGAAATCAATAGGCGCCGTAAAGATAACATGCATTTTGTAAAAATATTAATTTTTTTATGATATTGCCGCCATTTTGGTCACGTGATATACCTATCGTCATGTGGCAAGGGGTTAACCCGGATTATACATTCACTTTTATATCATTAACGACTGTTTTAATTTGAATGCTTACCTTTATCACTTCTCTGTCTAATGCCGTTAGGGCCATTGCCTATGAATGTGTTGATCTGAAACGCGATAGTCGATAGTACGATGGTGAAAACGCGAAATCACGAAACTACGATGGTGAAAATGCGAAAGCACGATGATGAAAACGCGACAGTACGATGATGAAAACGCGACAGTACGATACTACGATGATGAAAGCGCGATAAACTATCGTGTTTTCACTATCGTACTGTCGCGTTTTCGCCATCGTAGTTTCGTGATTTCGCGTTTTCATCATCGTACTGTCGTGTTTTCATCATCGTACTATCGCGTTTTCACCATCGTACTATCGCGTTTTCACCATCGTACTATCGCGTTTTCATCATCGTACTGTCGTGTTTTCATCATCGTACTACCGCGTTTTCACCATCGTACTGTCGTGATTTCATCATCGTACTATCGCGTTTTCATCATGGTACTATCGCGTTTTCACCATCGTAGTTTCGTGATTTCGTGTTTTCACCATCGTACTATAGACTATCGCGTTTCAGATTAACACATTCATAGGCGATGGCCCTAACGGCATTCCGGAATGCCGTTAGGGCCATCGCCTATGAATGGTTTGATCTGAAACGCGATACTCGACAGTACGATGATGAAAACGCGAACTCACGAAACTACGATGGTGAAAACGCGACAGTACGATGGTGAAAACACGATAGTTTATCGTGTTTTCATCATCGTAGTATCGTACTGTCGCGATTTCATTATCGTACTATCGCGTTTTCATCATCGTGCTTTCGCGTTTTCACCATCGTAGTTTCGTGATTTCGCGTTTTCACCATCGTACTATAGACTATCGCGTTTTAGATCAACACATTCATAGGCGATGGCCCTAACGGCATTCCGTACTTCTCTGTCTAATGCACTTGCACAGATATATTATGCATCAACGCTTTGTTGATTGCATAATATTTAAAGCTGCATGCCTCCAGATGAGGCAAAATATTTCAAGAAAATCAAACTTATATAGAATATATAAATATAGATTTTAAGAACAGTAAAAAGATTCAAGTAATAATTTACATGTTATGTGCGATTAATGACTAATTTTGCATTATTTATCACCATACTTCTACTGCGTGACTAACGCAGGTAGGGCTATATTTGCAAATCTTGACATCTCTTTGGTAAATGGATTGTAAGTGCCATTTGCAATGTGTAAATTCATTTAACAATGTTTTACATTTAAAAACATGTTTAAATATCATCATAAAAATAAGCATAAATTTGAAGGCATGCTGCTTTAATATTTATCTTGATATTAAAAAAAAGAAACAATCATATTTTAAATTTTCATTTGAATATATTATTGCAGTATGGCATGATATAATATTATGTCTAATTTCTTTTTGACTCAATTTTCAAACAGAATTTAATGTATAAATTATTGTATTGAAACAAAAACAAACCGCTTTCATTACTATCCAGAATAATTAACTGAGGACATTTAAGTGTATTATTAATTTTAAATTGGAAATTTTCCATTAACATATAATGGGCTGGTGGCCTATGAGTAAATTAAAATATTGTACTTCATAAAATATTACTTAGAACAAACGCCTGTGCTATTTTCATTCTAAATTCATGAATATCATGTTAAATTATAGCTTGCTTTTTATGTCCTTTCTTTATGTCATATATAATAATGTTATATTTTGTATATATCTAGATCCCCGGTAATATGCATGGGTTCGACTCCCGCAATATGACTATTGACCTTCCACCCGTAGAGATAATGCCTCCAGTGCTTAAAGGTCATAGAGACAAACATGGTGTTTTACATTACACAGTTACAGGTTTGTACTTAAATATTGCCTCATTGTTTAATTATCCTAGTAAACTCCTGTAAAAACGAAGGTAAATGACCTTGACATAATCTTATTTGACCATCACCTTGAGTAAAATGATGTCATGAATTTAACAAACTCAGCTATCTTAAGAAAAATTTACTCGGGTACCCGCTTGTTTCTGAAATAAGTTTAGTTTCACCATTAAAGCTGAAAAACCATGTTGATTTATCAATTCTGGTTTGACTAAAATCTGATTTGGTAAAAATAAAACTATGACAAATGAATTTCGTCATTTAATTTGTTTTGAATTATATTTACTTCTTTCTTTATTTAAAGTGACATTATGCCCATCAAAGGGTATATAATGCGTGAAGGGGTGAATATCAAAATAAGTTTTCATTTTGCCATAATTCCTCTTTATTTAATAATTAAGTTCGCATAAACAATAAATAACGCAGAGATCCCAACTAAATTTCTGTAAATATATATTAGAATTTACACATAACCCTTAGTTTATAAAAAGAGTGGGGCAGTCTTTTTAGATTTTAGGCTGATTTATATTTTTATTCAAAACATTTTTCAATATCAACTGTTGGTCAAACACCATTTTGTCAGTTAATCTTTTGAAATATAAAGTCAATTCAGCTCAACTTGACTTCGAAAATATGAGCATAATGTCACTTTAAAATGATATATTATTCAAATTTTAAAAAAGTGTGGTTTTCTACAGTCTTTTATATATTAAAAAACTTGTATCGTATAGGATACTTATACATGTCTATTTCTATTGGAAGCTTTACTGTAAGATTTAATATGTGTATTTGTCAGTAGTATAATCATTTTATTATATATACAACATGATTCATTTCTTTCAGCTTATTTCAAACACCCATCCCTTCTATGTAGTCCATTGCTTCCAGAAGGGGTGAGGCCGGGACGTGGTCTTTATATTCAAATGGGAAACAATCCAGAAAACCATCACCAGCACATACCACTTCAAAGTAAACATCTTTCACAACTCTGGAAGAAAGGCCACTGTGCACCGCTAATGGGTGAGTCACTTTGACTTAATATCTCTCTTAAAGGTACATGCCTGCAGATGTATGCTAAGTTTCATGAAAAATTTGAAAACGTATTAAAAAAGTACAATATTGTTAAGTAAGTAAAAATATGTATACATTGCACTTACAATCAAGGTAAATAACCAATAAAAAAGGAGGTCAAAATATGCAAAACATAGCCCTAAATGCATTAGTCACGCTGTAGAAATATGGTGATAAGCCCTGTCAAATCAGTCATTAATAGCACATGACATGTGAAGAATTACTTAAATTATGAATCTATTTACCTGTCATAAAATGTAATACAATTTGCTCAAGTTAGGTTTTCTTGAAATATTTTGGCTCATCTGGAGGCATGCAACTTTAAATTTCTTTACTATCATTCTCAGCAGCTATAAAATGTTTTGAAAATATTCTCTTTTGATGTTTCATCATGGTTTTGTTCAATTAGTAATGTACATCTCTAATTAAAAATACGAACAAGCAGTATGATAATGCTTGAATATATATCCTTTTGTTTTAGGATAACTGAACAAAAATTAATTGGCATACCGGCAAATAAGGTTTTCCATAGGATGATTCTGCACCAAATTTACAAAAATACACGAACTAAAATTCAGTTTATATATAACAATTTTCATTCATTTATAACTCAAAACAATTACGATTGTTTGTGTAATTTTCATTTGCGTTTCGTTTGTGTTTAATTAACCAGAAATGTTCATCATGTTACAAGTTTTGGATTTTTGTCAACGTTAGATGCATTTGATGGCAAATTATAAAACTTTGAAATGCCAGCTAATTCTTCTTTATCAAAATCATAATCCTATCAAAAGTGAACTTTCCATAAAACACAAAACTGTCAGCTTCAAAAGATATCTTCATATTACATCCATAAATTATTCATAACTTTTCAACCACGCTGGTTTTGTCACAAACGACGTGTTAATGTCATTAGCATCAATAATATATGCACCAATTAAGATAGTATCTTGCCATTTATGAAGATGTGTATCGTATTGAACATAAATATAACATTGAACATAAAATGAAAATAGTCCGGCAATACTAAAACGTAGATGACAAATATTCTAATTCTTGCTGAAATTAAGTCTTTAGGTTTTTGATTAAATAATTATGTGGTTCGTTAAATTTGAGTATCTATGTTGTTTATGGAACCGGATGTTCGACCTTTATTTACGTCACAACTTTAATTCGTGACGTCAGCGCTAGTAAGTTGCAGGATACGGATACAACGTGACTTGTAAAGGCTGCAAAAAGTACTTTTATTCTCGAGTATGATAAAATAAGTGTACTCAGTAATGGCGTATAAAGCATCAGTAAAACGTTGTTTAGAAGCCCAATAAGTATTTTGTATTTAACCACTGTTTTCAATGACTTTTTGGAACAACCCTCTTACATGTATTTCTGTAAACATTTCTTTATAAAAAAGATCATTAGATACCCCACCAGCTAGTAATGTACTTATTTTTCAAATGACTTTTGTTGTTGTTTTCTTATTACAGGAACACATTATTTTATGGGTTTGACACCTTCTTTGCCATGTGAAAAGCTTTACCCGCTGTTCTTAATGTATGATTTAGAAGGAAACCTAGGGGCATTTGGTTGGGTGTTCCAGGGACGACCAAACAACTTTTACGTTGATGACAGCGTCGGATGGTTTGGACTTACGCCAAATACATATCCAGTAAGCTTCACCTTTGTAAAAATAAAACACATTTTCTAATTTTTATATATTTAAAAAGCCCATTATGCCTTCAGAAATGCTTTTTTGAAGTTTTTTTTTAATTTGGTCACCTTATAGTTAAAACAAGAGCGATCAGTGATCACATGTGTCGCCTCATGATGGCCAATTTCATGTTGGGACAAGTTTTGTGACAGATGGACAGACAGACGGACAGTGCACAACTAGACTTGGTACTGATCATTCCTGTAAAGTTTGGATGAAATTGCACCAGTAGTTTATGAGGAGTAGTCTGGACAGGTTTTTGTGTATCTGGCAACACACAGAAAAAAACACCTTTATCAAAGGGCCATAACTCGGCCAAAAATCATTCAACCGGAAAACACGTGCAATATGCGCAAGGACTTGAGCTACAGATCAATCCTGTAAAGTTTCATTGAAATTGCATTAGTGGTATAAGAGAAGTAGTCCGGACAAACTTTAAAAATAAAAATTATTAAAGGGCCATAACTCTGACAAAAACCATTGAACCGGAAAATGCTGACAATATGCACAACTAGACTAAGTACTGATCATTCCTGTAAAGTTTGGATGAAATTGCACCAGTAGTTTTTGAGAAGTAGTCCGGACAAGTTTTGTGACGGACAGACGGACAGACAGACCGACAGACGGACAGACAGACGACGGAAAAGTGATCCATATATGTCGCCACTACTCCGTAGAGGCGACACAAAAAGACATTTATTGGCCATTTACTTGAACTATTGCTTACTTGTTTCGCTTTTTAACAACTGGTGCAATTATAGTGATTTAGTATTTTGTACAGAAGTCAAAATACTGTTTTGTTTACATTTTGCTTTGTTTATTACAAATCATTTCACATTCTGGACTACTTTCTTTAGGTTATAAGTCTCCAACATGCTCTAAAACTATTTATATCTTATAAAACCCATCTCTGTCTTTTTAAAGAAGGAAAAAATTACTCGATTCTGAGGCATAATGTAAGTAACAATAACATAATTATGTTTAGTTCGTAGCGCGACTTGTTTTAGCATCCTTCTAAGGGAGGAATTGAAGACTCTGTGTGCATCTCCTTGCACTATTTTAGGGGTGAAATGACACCTAGATATCACTTCTAGCCAAATGGGAGCAAGCTTTTATAAAATATTCAGTACAAATGTGTTTATTGCTATTTACTAATTAGTTCTTAATTGCCCTTCCCATTTTTAACGTCGTCATTGATTTTCCTGTAATGTGTCACTTTTTAAAATTATTAATAATTATCAGTGTTTGGTGCGCTTTTGTTTGGAACCCAGTTGGGCTCCAAGCCGATGTTATATATAATGTTTTATTTTGTAATATATTCTCTGATAAATAACTGATAAATGATTCTAAAAAGAGCAACAATTAAAATAAATCAATGAAATATCAAGTTCTAGCATTGATAAGGTTTTATCTAATCAAACGGACGTACAGCAATGAATTAAAATATTTCAAACTTTAAAATGTATAAAGCTAAACATATGCTGCTTGTAGTTTACAAAGTTATTTTTCGAGGTTCTAAATAGCATACTTCCAAAATACCAGCATGAAAGAAATGTTTGTAAATTTCCTTAATGCCCACTATGCCTTATAAATGCTAAAGTTTCTCAAACTCTTTTTATTTTTGGTGTTGTTTCAAAACACTACTATTTAACATGACGTTATTTTACATAAAGCGCTACTTTCTACAGGTTACACTATCTAACTTGCCCTAAAACCATTATTTAAACTTTATAAAACTTCTCTAAAGTTCCGAGACATTGTGTGCCAAAAGTGCATGAATGAATCAGTTCTAAGCGATGATTTTGTTCCAAATCATTTATGTTCACTTAGACCCTTGCAGTTGTGGGTTAGAATCCCGCTAAAGACAGGACATTTTATGTCCTTCTTTGTTGTTTGTTCTTGTTTGTTTTGTTTTGTTGTATGGCGCACCAACACAATTTAGGTCATATGGCGCCGAAAGAGGAAATAAATTTTGGCTAACATCGGGCCTTACAAACGGCTACGCAGAGGTCAAAACCACCTTAACTGCTGGAGCTAATATATGCATAGACTCTAGAAATTTGAACACATTTACTATCACGTGGGATAAATGGTGGTACAATTATTATGCCTTAACCTTCAGAAGCAACCTCTCAGGCACAAGGAAGAAGTCAGTGTTTCTACTCGTGTGCCCGCTTGTTCCTGAATAGTAGTGAACGGAGTTCTTCCTCCACCAGTAAAGCTGGAAAACACAAGGTTCACCGTATGTTAAATAGCATACATTCCATATTACAGCTCATCCTAGAAACCAAAAACTGACCATAACATTTTGGAAACAACGTAATTTTCCTTTTCATAAATTTCAAAAAAGAGTGTTTCATTAGACATAGCTTTATACTATTTAAAGGAAGGAATTAACTTTACTTAATATAATTATTTGAATGAATACTTTTGAAGTCAGTATAACTTACTTATGACAATGTCTATTTCAGTTTTTATTCAAACCCAGCATGTTACCAACATGTATGTTACATCCATCATTTCAAGTATTTGGTGTACGTATCTATCTACAAGAGCAGGACAAACTTCTATGTACGAGAGTCGATAATCTTAACAAAGAGGAACAATATCAGTCATTGCAAGAGAACGAGGTGCAAAAAACTGTTATATCAGTTAATAATGACGAAGATAATGAAGATGAAGAGCAAAATGAAAATACAAATACAAAGAAAATTGATGACAGCAAACACAATAGTCGATCAAGAGCACCTCTATCAAGCGTAACTTCAAACATGTTTTTTGTTTCAATAACGGCTCTTGCTTTTTATTTCGGGCAATTCAGATAGCCCATAACATATAGCATTATGCAACAACTCCCAACCACTAACCCCTCTGGGTTAAAAATATAGCAATAAAGTGGAGTCACCGCAGCAGTCCATGATGTCACTCAAATATGCAAATTCCATATCGTCGGTGACAATTTGCTTGACGGACAGAGACTAACAGAAGTTAAAGAGGTGTTGTTTTGTAGTAACAACGTTACTTGTGTTGCTACATTTCAATGAATGGTGTAACACTGATGAATAGACAGTATAAGATATATGCAAGATATCAACAGATACAACTTGAAGCTTCTTGTTATTATTGTATGTCTAATTATGTAAACATCGGTAATCAGTCACAACAAGTTCTTACATTTGATTTGCACGGTGACGCCGTCTGTAAAGGATGAACGTAACTCTTTTGCCCCAACGATCTAACCCTTGCTTATTGTGAAGCTTCCCGTCACGTAATGTTTGTTAACATACTCACGTTGTATATAAACACAGTACTAGAACTCTTGAACCCTATTATAGATGGACAAATGTCAAAAAGAGCACAAAGCAATGCATACACAAAAACATATTACTGTGCTTATTTCATTATAATATCAAAAACATTGTCTGTGTATGTAAATAGGTATTAAAAATATGATGTATCATATTAAATCAGTGGCATAAGTATGAGTTATTCGAATGACGTGAAAACATCACTTCCACAAACACTAACTTTCAAACGAATTGCAGAAGCCATTGCAATATTATTGAAAAGTCACGACGCAGATCATTGCTTCGCTTCGCAGAAAACTAATCACAATTATTCTCAGGATTAATCATATTTGTGTACTTTCTGCTAACATTTACAGAACTATGTATCCGTCCAAAACGTCTGAAACATCTCAACATCTCTCGATATGTAACAGATCACAGTTCACCAATTCAATTTTGCCAAATTCAATCTGCCAATGTCTGTTTATCTAATATAACCTATCGCGGGAAAAGACATTTCACATTTAGAAGGAAGTAGAACACACACTTCTAAACTAATAATAAAGCATTGCCAGTGTTTCCAATAAAGATGCGATTCAACGGAAAATAAAAGAGAACAATTTAAAATGGAGAGACACGATCATTATATTATGAAGACGTCATTCGTAAATGTTTAGTGCTCAAAGCTGCTAATGGCATTGAAAATTTATAAATAAAGCCAAATAGTGACTCACAACTTTTGCCTTTGGATAAATAGAAACTAACTGCAAAGCATTGGCAGATGGATCGGTATTAAAACTAAAATGTATGCAACAGTATTGTACATAAATAAGACTTGCGCAACTTATGTAAAAGGATTGAATTGTACATTTTCTTTTAAACCAATGCCAATTACAAACAATCATTAGTGGAAATAAGTTTTTGCAAAGGACAATGATATTTGGCTTAAGAGCCTGTTTTTAACCGACATGTTGAAATATGATCGGATGTGCACTCACTCTTACAGCGCAAATAATGACTGGGTTTTACTGTTTATTTGATATGAATATGTACAATTTAGGTTTGAATATATTTTGCATTGAAGAAAAGGATAACAGTTTGTAGAAACTCAACAAAAAACAGTTGGAGCAACAAATATTACCAGACATATAAAAATACATTACATATCTAAAGTAACTGATGTCAGTGGTGGCGTGAATCTGTTTAAGAAAATGACGTTCTGAAAACTTGATTATAGCCATAGAATGATACAACAGTCTATAGTCTTGCCGGCAGCCATATCAATATTTCATGAACATTTTTCTGAAAAAAATATGCTTTGACAGAAGGTGTTTTACGTTTAAATGGTAGGTCTAACGTTGTACTAAATTGTCAAAAGAAACGAAACAATCCTTTTCTTATTTCTTATCTTTATTAACTATCCCTTTCTTATTTCTAATTTGTTTCCGTAATAATATCGATTTGATATAATTTTTAAAAGATTAATGTATCGTTTTTTCAAATTGTTAATGTCTCTCTTTTGAATAACTTTTTTTTAATGTCATTTAAATCATATTTTATGGGTTTTTATTTCAGATTACATGTCCTGAGTGTGTAATGATAAACAACACGTTGAGTGGTATGTTTATGAAGAAGACTTTAAGGTGATTTAAGTGTACTTTGCATCACTCTAAATACTTTGTTCAAATAAAAATTGCACGAAATATAATTATATTGACAATGCGGTATAAAAAGTGCATTGTAATAAAATCACGCTTTGAATGATTTTTTGTTGTCAAATTTATTTTATAAATTACATTATATTCAAAATTATATATCTTAAGTAAGCCCTTTTCCCCCATTTTTTTCTTAAATAAATGCAGGTTTAGCAATTTACGAATATATTCTGAGACTGTGTAATTGAAAACTGATTATATTAAGATTTGACTTCCACAGAAATTTCGGTTTTTCATCATAATAAAAACAATCTTCATTTGCTTTCGGCGTAAAAGCAATTACTTGAAGTTTTGTTTGCTCTTTCAGCTAAGCCATTTTCTCCCGGATATTTAAATGTAGCAAAAACTGTTTCATTATTTTATCTCCAGTGTAAGCTCACAGTGCACGCATATGTCACATCATGAATAAGACAGTATGATAAAGGCGTTTCGATTTCAAACATCTTTTCTCTCTCTCCTTTTTTGCAGATTGCATTGGGTGGTATTAGAGAACAAGAAAAGAAGAGAAAATCACCTTATGAAAACATGTATTAAAATTATGTTTTATGTACTACGAAATTAGATAACTGATGCTGGATGAGGTTTAGTACTTAGATTTGTAGATAGTTATTCATTTCATTTAACCTGTTAGATAATATATATGAAATAATTATCGAGAGAAATGTTAACACAATTGATGGTATTTGTTTTTTGGTAAAATCATTGCATACTGAGTCATGTTTAGTTTAATGAAAGAAAAAAAAACAACAACAAAAAAGCTAGTATGTTTGTTATGAATAAAGGTCTTTATAAAATCATATGTAGAAAATGTATTAAACAAGTTGTAATACAACACATTTTGAAATTTAATAATCTATTTTTATAATCAATAATTCATTTTGTTTTTGTATGCTGTATATGAATCATGCCTCAATTTGTTTTATGACTTTTAATAAAGACGTGCCTTGTTGAAAGCGCTGGAACTTCTTTTCAATATCTAAATTGACACGCGGCAGAAATTATCAGCATCGTGTTACCATAGTAACAAGGTTAATTGTCTTTAATATAAAAAGTATTTTGATATTGGTAATTTGTCTAGAGGGTCTTTTATAGCAGATATAATTAGTACGCCTAGAGAGATGTTCATTTTAATAAGACTCAAAATACAACACCGGGTTTTCTATGAAAGAAATTGGTTTCTATAGCAACTGTCTATTTATCCTTTCATTTCACAGCGTATTTTAAGAAAGTCATATTTGAGCGTATATCCATATAGATTTCTGTTTCGCCTCCAATCGAGAAAATGTCAGTGGTCAATTATTCAAAGCTTTTAAAAGCACTAGGAGAAAATCTATTGAAACAGAGCAACATAATGTATTGGCATGGTGGCAATGAAATTCTAGAAACTCCAGTCTTGGCATCTCATTACTATTTGACGTAACATTATTTTAAATGTGGGCTTATTTTTTTACATATGCAAAGTAACAAGGGATAAAAGCACTTATGATTTCTACATTAACTACCTTTAATTGCTTTCTTTGAGGTTTTTTTACATGGCATGACGGGACTTGTAATATTATCTTTATTTAGATTTGTTGTACCATTTGATGAAAGTCTTCATAAAATAATTGTGCGAAATATTTTAAATCATTTTTCTCACTCCTTTTTCGAGGAATAAATTTATTGTCTTAGATGACCTAAAATGTTTAAACGCTGCTTACTTAACTTAATCTAAGAATGCCAAACACATTTGGTTTAAGACTTATTGCTAAATACATTACGTATGTCATGTGCATATGTTCTTGTTTTAAGCGCCCCACTTAATCTATAAAATAATTTCAAATTTTCTCTAATTTGACCTCTGGAATTCAGTGGAGAGTTCCTTTCTTTTAAATACGTTGTACATATTAGAACGACAAATGTATGCAGAAACATCAATTAAAACGTTTTATGTTCATTTATTTTTTATGCTTAGCTACCTAATTTGGAATTACTTAGAATTTGTTAAAGACCAGATTAAAAAATGTAACTATTTAATACTAATAAAATTGTTTAGAAACATAGTTTCCTCCAGTGTACCTTTATTTGCAAGATTCTTGCTTTTTCTGTACCGACGGATTAGACAGACATAATTTATTTTGTTGAAGACCAAATTAAGTCAAACAATGTAATTATTTAATATTAATAAAATTGTTTAGAAATATCATTTTCTCCAGTGTACCTTTTATTTGCAAGATTCTTTCTTTTCCTGTACGGAACGGATTAGACAAATATTAGTAAAACGAAAGTTTTACAAAAGTAACTGAAACATTCTATAGAAAGTTTAACGTTAGATATACGATTTAGAAATGCACCTTTTATAAAAGCCGAACAATCCGCGAGCGTGTATCTTCCTTTTCCAAGTCTTGTGATAAAGTTCAGTAGAGAAGAATTTTTTTCCAATGAATATTTCATCTCAGCTTTCACTGTTTCCAAGTATTCAAGCTTGTAAGGAATTTCACTAAAATATTTTGTATTCCTTTCTTGGTATCAATAATTCATTTAAACCTATTAGTGTTATTTCTCAACTGCTATAGGCACGTAAGGAAATAATAAATCCCGAACCATTGTCTTATTTACCAATCTTAGCAGAAACACTTTAAGAGATGAAAAGAAAATCAAAGACATTGGTATTCCACCTATACTACTACTGTATTTGATACAATGTTTATATGGGAAAATTGAACTTAAAAATAAAGACCACGACTTGCCGTAACCATAAATTTATATTGTTGAAGGAGACCTTGAAACATTGAAACTTTATACATTATTCATATATTGTAACAAAACACGCGAGCATCTTTATTACATTAAAATCAAACAAAATATCACACAGTGTACAAATATAGTGTTTGCTTAAAAAGCAGTGGATGTCAGAAGAAATTACAGTTTTGTTACAGACCAACAACTTTCATAACATAATGATCATATTCCTGAAATTGAACTGACACATTCCATTATTTCACTACATGTACTTACATACTCGTATCAATTGTATATTGAGTTGAAATCTTTATCTACCATATAATATCACACAGATTTGAAATAAAAACTCAGTTTGAAGCGTTCATTGGATAAGTATTGCCTGTCCATAAAATACTAAATTAGCGCTTCAGAACTCCTTTTCAGAAAGCTGGGGTGCATTATTGAACACTTTTTCATTAAGTTGTTGATACCGATTTTACACCGCTGTGTCAGAGAGAAATCTTCTATAAATTTTAGTTAAGGTTCTTGATAAAAAAAAAACACGTCATACCATAAGATATGCCTTTAATCGTTATGCTTTGAGTATATGATTTGTTATATGTGCTTATGGACTTAAAATCTAAATAAGTCTAAATTGTGGATAACCGGGGTTTGTGGATTATGATGTCACTCACATAAAGAACAGAAAATTCCGTTCTTTTAAAATTTGGTCTTAAAACGGAGAAGTCTTAATTCTGAGGTCGTCTTAAGTAGAATTCCTATTTTAGTTGTATTCTTAAAATACATACCTGAATACTTGAAACCACAGGAGCTTGAAATTCTATCAAATAACCAAAATTTACGATAATATCCAAAAATAGCCCAAATATAGTATAAATAAACACAAGGAATGAAACGCCTTTTCCCAACCCCAACATAATTTACCTCGGACAAATAAACAAAACAACGGATCAAAATAATATATCGGGCCATTTCGATAAACATTACTTTTTTAAATCGCGTACCTATGTAGGAATAGATCATGATTTTCTTCTTATTTTTCGCGCCGACTTCATTTCGTGACGTCACAGGAAAAGCTGGAATTCCCGTACATTTGTCATCCTCAAAGAAACAACTAACCTGAGAGTAAATGTTTTTACTTACAACAGGGTCTGTAAAATTATAGCCATTTATGGCCATTTCTACAGTTCTGTTCTGTTCAATTACGATGCTTGTAAAATTATCGCACATAAAGAACGTGGTCTGCGTTGGAGAGGCAAACATTCACTGCAGGAAGACAAATGTGCGGGAATTCCTGTTTTTCCTGTGCTTGAATAAAAGAAACTTTAAAAGACCGGAACAAAACTCAAGAGCAATAAGTAATCACATGTGCCGCCTTATGAAAGCCAATTGCATTTTGCAGCTACTGTGTAACAGAAGACACAAAATTCAGACAAACAGGCATATTTATTTCAAAAGCTATTTATTTTAGGGCCATAACCTAGCCAAAACCCGTGTAATATTCGCACTGATCATCCTGGACAGTTTCAAATTTGAAATTGCATTAGTGGTATAAGAGGCGTAGTTCGAACAGACTTTAAAAATAAAGATCATTTAAGGGCCATAACTCTGACAAAATCATTAAACTTCATGCACAACTAGACTTGGTACTGATATTTCATGTAAAGTTTGGATGAAATTGCACCAGTTTTTTGGGAGTAGTCCGAACAAGTTTTGTGACAGACAGACAGACGACGGAGAAATATATATCCCTATATGTCGCCACTACATTCTTTATGAAGTCTTTAATTTTTGTTTTTCTTGTTAAGACACTGATTTTATCATCTTTTTAATACCTCGGCGGTTGATCCATTACGATCGACTTTCCTGGATAACAAACCAGTTCTTACCTGTTTCTTCGCAAGTGATCGACTACCCATCCTACATGAATCAACGGTAAAAGGCAAATGACCATTACACTTAATGTCCAAGATCAATTCTTTCTGAGAATTTCGCCTTGCTTGAGGATCGAACCAGTAAACGCTGAATTATCTATTTGATAATCTCTCTATTGTCCTAAGTGAGCAGATCTAAAATATAGGGATTCAGAGGTGACAGATAAAAAAGAGAACAGATTTTGAATTAAGAGGTCAGTAAGTTTTCTAATGGCTCTTTTATGTTTAAGAATATGTTTATTTTATTTAAACTAGGAGAACAGCAGCATTCCTCAGATAGATATTGGTTTCTATAGCAACTGTAAATTTATTCCTTCATTTTAATGCGTATTTCAAGAAAGCCATACTTTAGCGTATATCCAAATAGATTTCCATATTAATATGTTTCGCCTCAATTATTCAAAAATTTTAAAGACATCGAGTTGGAGATTTTATAATAATGAAAAAGACATCGCAACAGAGATATTATAAAAAAAAAAAAAAAAAAAAAAACGCGGAAGAGAAATTATAATAATGGAAAAAAAACGTCGCGAAAGAGAAATTATAATAATGAAAAAGACATAGCGGAAGAGATATTATAATAATGAAAAAACATAGCGGAAGAGATATTATAATAATGAAAAAAAACATCGCAACAGAGATATTATAATAATGAAAAAACATAGCGGAAGAGAAGTTATAAAAATGTAAAAGACATATGGTTTGAAATGTAGGCTCGCAACTATGTATTGAAGAAAAAAGACCTACAAAAATAGCAGAAACTTGAAATGAATGCACTGATGAATGATCATTTTTTAGTGTGCTTTGTGCTTGAGATATAAAATTGATCGGAAAATTTAAATTTGCTTTTATAACAATTATCAGTGTTCACATGCATAATCACGTGGTCTATTGTTTGGGTAAAAGTTTCACAGCCAATGACAGTGCCCGTAGTTTTGAAGGTTAATTTTGTTTTTTGTCGAAATTACTTATTTCTTTAAGGTAATGTAGCCCATGTTACTGCCAACATTAATGCCATAGAATAAAAAAACGGACTCCCTAAATAACGCCCTAAATGACAAAATTGAAAATGTTGCAGGCTCGGTGTAGTTGAGCCTGTTCCTGGATGGTAGTGAAAAGTGCAAGTTACCGTCCGCAACCCTTGCTCCAACTTAAACAGAATTCAACATTTAGACACGAAATTGGTAGATTGGTGATATTTTGAATTTAGAAACATCAGCAGGTGTGTTTATACGGCGGTTATCATTGAAGTAAGTACAAGTCCAACAGTACCAAATTTACATCCATGAAGTCATAATAAGTTGTTCTTATAGTTTGTTTAGTCTGAGGCAATATTTGATTTATAGTATACTTCTGTTATTTGAAATCTAAGAAAACGGTTAATATACATAAAATATTCTAATACTGGATTCGTGCACAGCTTCAAAACTTTGGAAATGCTTTCATAACATCTATAATGTGTAAACTAAAAGTGTATATTGAGCCCGCCACGAGGATATTATAGTTGCATTAATAATTCATGTAGACACATTAGTGCTTTTCCACGACTGCCGATGGTTCGTTAGGGAGAATGATTGTTTATTTGTATGCATCAATTTTAGCAAGTGCAATAAGTGATGACTAAATTATGCAACCCTTTTCAATATTTGGAAATTGTTATCATACATCTATTAAAGCCATTTTACTATTAAATTACTAATAAAGTTTTAGGCAGCAATTAATGTTGAAAATAGCATCTTAAATGTTGCATGACCTCATACTTTTTTTCAAATGCAACAGTTTTTCATACCTCTGTTTGTTTATATTCAAATAATGTGTATTTATATTAACATTCTTTAAAATATCATAAAGAAAATGTCTTAAATGTCCAATAACAGCACAGTTTTAATCAATTCTCAAATATTTATCAGATTGCTGAAAGGTGTTTTATGTATGGACTATACGTACATACGAAAACAACAGAAAAATCAATACAACAAACACGTGCAACACAATAACATTGAAAACAAAATAAATGATATAATGTTATGTTATATATGTGTTGTTTTACATAAAACAGGTACGTAAAAACTTGTTACGTTCACCTTGTCAATATTTCAGGTTCGTTGAATGCTATTAATGGCTTCATACCTCTGTTTGTTTATATTCGAATAATGTGTATTTATACTAAGTTAACATTCTTTAAAATATCATAAAGAAAATGTCTTAAATGTCAAATAACAGCACAGTTTTAATCAATTCTCAAATATTTATCAGATTGCCAACGTAATTCAGACTTAGTTTTAAAATTTAATTGTAAATTATAAACTCTTTTACGACTAGGTATTAGCAAACCTGACTTCTATGGAGATGTGATTTACAAACTTCGTAGGATCATGGGTCATAGTAATTTTTCTGCCGTCTTCACTAAAATTATCAAACGGTTTTTTGAAAAAGGTTATGGCCCAATTTTTTTAAGGCATACCGCATGCTCGGTATTCAACCCTTTTACAGTTGGACGCTACGCTTTCCTCTTTTAATTACA